TTTTGTAGAAAAATACAACATGTCTCCAACATCAACAACAGTTGGTGCCAATGCTCCCAATGGACCTTTAACTGCACGACGCGCCGGAACTAATTATCGTTATCGGACAGTCAATGCTCAATCAGAAGTCGATGAAACCCTATTCGGTGCACCGCATCGATTAGAAGCAGCTGCAAAAATGAGATCAGAACGTCAACAAAACGAAGAGAAATCCAATGGAAACCTAATCGCAAAACCAATTCATCCAGTTAAAAAGCAATTCGTTAGACACATTACAAAAGATCTGATTCGTGATATTATGTAAATATTTGATTTGAAAACAAACTTAAATTCGATCCTTATTGAAATTTTAGTGTTCGAGAAGAACCAACATCCAGTTCAATTGTCATCGATAATGGAACTTATGAACGTTTAGCTCATGCAGCTCGAAATCGACCGAAGGAAGTTCGAGAAAATGATCTTCGAGATTCAAAACGATTTAGAGAATCAGTCGATGTAAGTTTGGCAAGATTAGATTTACGATGACTTTTGTTTTTCAAGGCAGAACTCGATCGTCGAAAGAAAACAATCCAAGAATTTGATCAACAACGAAGAAAAAATGCTCCTTTAGATGACATTGAACAAGAAGCCAAAGATGAAGCTGAATACATGTTAAAACGAGCCAACGACCTTCGACAAGAACAAGAAGATGAAGTTAAACATCTTAATGAAGTTCGTTTTCAAACAAATCTCAAAGTTTCATTCGAGAAAACAAATTCTTCTTTCAGTTAATTCTCAATGCAAAATGCCACGCGATACGCGATGCACAAGTTTTAGAGAAACGACAAATAAAAAAAGAAATTGTCGAAGAAGATAAACGTTTAGACATGATGATGGAGATTGATCGTCTCAATGCTTTGAAAATTCAAGAAGAAATCGAAAAACGACGACATTTGCAAAACAAATTGTAAGATAATCCAAATAATGTGCTTAATGGATGTTTTCTTTTCTTTTGTCCAGAGGGGCAAGTTTGGTCTTGAAACAAATCGAAGAACTCGAAAGAGAAAAACTCTTGAAAGAAGAAACTCGTGAGCAAGAAAATGCAGCAATGTTTGAATACATACAAAAATTACAAGAGAAAGATTTTGAAGAATTTGCTAAACGAAAGGAATCTCAACGGAAATTAGCGGTAAAAGAACTTCTTTTCAAGTTTATTTCGACTTTATTTTGTTGATTTCTAGAATGAACTTTTAAAAGCCAATCATGATATTGAAGAACAACGAGCATTT